GTCAGGGCCGGCGTGAGGGGGGACGGTGCGAGCGGGACCGGGGCTCGGGCCGGGGCTGGGTTCAGTTCCGATCCCGGTTCCGTGCCTGCTCCGCACCCGCTCGCTTCCGGGGACAGAGGGCACATCATGGGCTCCCTGCGGCTCCTCGTCCCCCGCTGGTGCCGCTACGCCTCCCCCGCTGTGCTGCGGGTGCGGTGCGCAGCCCCCGGGGTTGGATCCGGACAGGTCCCGCTCCTATCCCGGTCCCCAGGCCAGGGCCCGCTGCCGGGCTGGAGAACGTGCAGCTCCTCCCAGGCCTCCTGCAAACTGCCCGGCAGCGACCCGAGAGAGCTCAGTGCTGGCAGCTCCGCTGGAGCTACCGAGGAGCAGAAGGGTGAGGATGATGATGATGATGATGATGATGAAGGTGTGGAGTTCGGGACGCTGTCTGATAAATTTTCCTCTAGAAAATATTACCACAAAACCAGAGCGCACTTTCGGGATTTAAAGCTTCAGGAAGAAGGAGAAGAAGAACCAGAAAGAAAACCTCGACGTGGCCCTAAGAACACTCCATACTGGTACTTCCTACGGTGCAAGGCCCTCATCAAAGAGGATAAGGTTTGAGCCCAGCTCTTCTCTTGTTTTTAATAGCACTGACGAAATGTGCAGCTCCGGCCAGTCTCTATCACTTGGTATCTTTAGAGAAAAAATTATAATAAGAATTTCTTGTAGAATCATAATAAAACAGTTTGGGTTGGAAGAGACCTTAAAGATCGTCCAGTTCCATCCTCTGCCATGGGCAGGAACACCTTCCACTATCCCAGGTTGTTCCAAGCCCCGTCCAACCTGGCCTTGAACACTTCTAGGGATCCAGGGGAAGCCACAGCTTCTCTGGGTGACCTGTGCCAGGGCCTCACCACCTCACAGTAAAGGATTTATTCCCAATATCTAACCTAAATCTCCCCTCTGTCAGCTTAAAACCACTCCCCCCTATCCTGTTACCACATGCCCTTGTCCAAAGACCCTCTCCAACCTTCTTGTGAGGAACCCTAAACTTTGTAGGACTCTCACTACAATCTGCCCACAGCTGCATATATTAATATCTGTTGATTCTCTTGCTGACTCATGATGGATTTTTCTTATCCTTGTAGCTGGCAGAGGCTCTGGAGCTGTTTGAGGTGCAGATGCTGAAGGAGGAGCGTGTCCAGCCAGAAGAAAGCAATTACACCGTTCTCATTGGTGGCTGTGGAAGGGTTGGCTACGTGAAAAAGGCATTCAGGCTCTACAGTGATGTAGGTTTGACTTCAAAGCATTTTCTAAACTAAAAGCATTTCAAGCATTCAGTCATGTTACTTTGTCTCCAAAATGCCTTTGTGTTAGTGTTGACACATTCTTAGCCTGAAACTCTTAAGAATAAGTTAAAAAATGCAAGCTGTCCTTATGCAAAAAGATGAGTTCAGATCCTTCTTCTCTTCCTTTAGATGAAAAAACGAGGGTTAATCCCCACAGAGGCCACTTACACAGCCCTGTTCAATGCTTGTGCTGAGTCTCCGTGGAAGGACTCAGGGCTACAGAGTGCCCTGAAACTGCGGCAGCAGCTGCAGAGCAAAAACGAGGAGCTGAACCTCATCACCTACCACGCCCTGCTGAAGGTCTGTGCCCTCTGCTCAGACCTTAGGATGTGCTTGGATGTACTCAAGGTAAATGGGTTGCTTTTCTCCTATTAAACCTATTCTGTGCTGTGGTTAAAGCTCCTGGAAGTTGTCACATTCCATTGGGCTTTAATTTCATTTCCAGCAGAGATAATTACAGATCATGTGTTTATATTTAATTGATTCTTATTGTCAGACAGTGAAATTGTATGTGCCAAACTCTAAGCTTAATTATCAAAAGGAAGCAGTTTTAGCTTTAAAACTGGCTGGGTGTGCCCAAAACTTGTTACCTCTAATGACAGTGGTATTTGAGCTTTACCACACAGGGTAACCAGGAATGCTCTCTCTGCTCTTTTCAGGAAATTGTGCAGAAGGGCCATGTCCTCACAGCTGAGACTTTCAGCTTCCTTCTCATGAGCTGCATAAAAGACAGTGAAAACGGCTTCCGATTTGCCTTGCAGGTTTGTCCTGGTGTTCTGAGAGGGGGGAAAGTGCTGCTGCTACTCTGTAACTATTGTAACTCATCACGTTGTTACACATGGAAAGCAGTGGGGTGGTGAAATGGGAGGAGTTCAGCTCCTCCTAGCATAAATTCTGAAAACCAGACTTTGCTCAGGACATCTCATATGCTGGTAAATAACCCTGGATCATCTCACAGGGCTCTCCAGCTGAAGGTCATTGTCCTTGTCATGCTGTAAATTCACTCCCCACACAGATCCCATTAAAAGATGTACTTAGAGGCTGCTAGAGATACTCCTGTTATTTAACATCCATTTCCCCTCTTCAGGTTTGGCAACAAATGAATAAACTGGGAATAAAGGCCGACAGCCACACCTACAACCTGATGCTGCGTGCAGCCAGAGACTGCGGGATTGGCAATCCCACTGTGGCCTCTCAACTCCTGCTCAGTCCCCCTGAGAACTCACCTCAGCTAAAGCTGCCACCTGGCAGGCGGAAGGAAAAGGTGAAAAATCAGAGGAAGAAGGGATCAGAGAGTGCTGCTGTCCAGCTGGATGTGGAAGCTATGGAGAAGCAATTATTTCAGGAGAGTTCAGTGCAGCCCGAGGAACGGATCCAGCAACAAAATAAAGATGTGGGTCAGGCTGAAGCAGAACCAGCTGCTCCTGACAGCCCCAGTGTCACTCACAGCAGGACTGGAGCCTTGGTGAGGAGAGCCCAGAGTGAGATGGAACGGAAACAGCCACACCTAAGCCAAAAGTTGCCTTTCTGCAATCTGCCCAACTTGTTGGATTCCAGGACGGCTGACACAGCTGTGGTTTCCCTGGGGACAGTGGCTACACCATCCCATAGACTGGCTCTGATGGGGGATGTGGAGGGATTCTTGAACAAGATGAAAGAGGACAATGCAGAGCCCAATATTAAAACGTTCACGTTACTGGCTGAGCTGGTGGAACCCCAAAGCCCCTCAGAGTCCTCTTTGCTGGCACTGCTGGATGATCATAAAGTAAAAGTAGATGTGACCTTCTTTAACACTTTAATGAGGAAGAGAAGTAAACAAGGAGACCTGGAGGGAGCAAAGGTGAGAGAAAAACCTCAGAACCAGCCCCATCACCACCTTCTTGTTCTCAGGCCTCTCTTTTGCTGAGACCCGTTTCTCTGTCCACAGTAGAAACTGGATCTCACACCATTTCCCACAAGGCGGTGCTTGGGTTAATTTCTAAGCATTTATGGATTCTGTTTTAGCACATCCAGCTCCCTGACTGGAAAGCTACAGTAAGGAATTTTTGGGGGTGATGCCAACACTTGTATCTTGCAGAGTGTGCTACCAGCTCTGGTGAAGAGGGGACTGTCACCTAACCTCCAGACATTTTGTAACTTGGCAATTGCCTGCCACAAACAGCAGGATGGACTGCAGCTGCTCTCAGATTTGAAGGTAATCAAAGAAAAATCCTCTGCTGCTTGGGGTCTGTGCTGCAGGAAGAAGCAAAGTGCAGTGTTAATGCTTTTAAAAGACCTGCTGAGGTTTTTGTGTCGAGTGATTTTGTTCTTTTCCCAAAAACATGCAGCTCCAGAGCAGCTGGAGCTCAGGTAGTCTGTGCTGACACTGCACAAGCTGCTTCACAGGTCCTGTGATGAGAACTGTGCTCGGCGTGTAAAAAGTGCCTCTGTCTTTTCCTTCTGGAAGTCCTGTACTAGTCAGAAGATAAACTTGTTTAACTGTAGTATTTGTTCTTTCCAGAGGTCTGGAATAACTCCCAACAAGTACATCTACAGCACCCTCATTGCTGCTGCTGTGAGGCAGCTGGATTACAGTTACCTCACGGAGATCCTGCGGGACATGAGGAATAACGAGGTGCCTCCCAATGAAGTGATCATCCGGCAGCTGGAGTTCGCAGCACGGTACCCTCCCAAATTTGACAGGGTAAGGAGCCAGGACTGCCAGGCTGTGAAGGCATCACAGAGAACACCAGCAAGGGAGAGGAATCATAAATATGATTGTCTGTTTGAGTTTCCTTTGGGTCTGTCTGGTCTAGCTAACTATTACTTGATCACTGTTTCTTCTCTTGTAGCTCTTGCAGGCTGGTGCTGAAGTGAGCTCTCATCTAATGGAAACTTGTTCTGTTGGTTTTCTCTTTGCAGTATAAATACAAAAACCCATACCTGGAGAAGATTGATGGTTTCCGTGGCTACTACTACCGGTGGTTAAAAGTTATGGCTGGAGAGGAGACCCCCCACCCCTGGGCCAAGTACAGGACAGCAAAGCCTGGGGGGCAGGACAGCAAGGCAGAGGCTGTGCAGGAAAAGGAAGCAGGATGCTGAAGTTTCAAGTTCTTCCAGAACAAGGAAGATGCATGACTTGCTTCTTTAAACTGGCATGTAGTAAAGTTGCTTTGTCTATCCCCAACCCCCAGTTCTTGCAATAGTTACATAATAAAATATTTCCTTTTGTTTTAAGGAGGAGAAAATACATTTTCAGTGAATTTCCTTCAACTGCCAAGGACTAGATGGGCTGTAGTTTAGCAAGCCCTGTACAAAACAAAGAAGAAGCAAAATCAGATTTAACAGGCGTTTAGCTCAGTGCTGGTTTTGTCTGTGTCCTGTCACTTCACACGTGACCTCTAAGTCTCTAGACTGCTGGCATTCCTGAAGGGATCTGTGCATTAATTCCAGGTTACAAACCTCAGCAGAGAATTCCAGTGAAATGCAGCTTCCACCTGCACGTGGTCAGGGAAGAACTCAGACTGGACATTTGGGAACTGTATTTCCTTTCTACACAGCCTTTTAAATTGATTTAGTTGAGAAAAAAGCCCAGAGCAGCTCACAATGTGCACTGCAACCTTCAAGCACCCAGAACACATCCAACAGAAGAGGGGTATAGGAGTGTTTCACCAGAAGATCACACCACCCTCAGGTAGTCAAGCTTTATTTTAAAATAAATGGCTACACAAAACCCTACTCCAAAGCCCCCCCATTTATGCACGATCCAGGTGATCATGCTGCTGCTTTAATTATTATACAGAAATATCCCATCACAGAATGTGGCTGTAATTGCACTCATAGTCCATTGAGGAGGAAGAGGAGGATATCCCTCAGAGTTCAAAAAAACAAGTTTGATGGCAAAAGGCTTCACCCAGAGCAGCCTCTGCATCCACAGTGAGTGCACTCAATGATTCTGCCCTGAAAAACAAACATGAGGAGGGTGTTACAGCCAAGCCACAGCCAGAGCAGCAGCCTCAGACCTTGAGGCAGGGAATGGCTCTAGGTGGGAAGGGTTTCCACAATTTGGTGTTATTTCCCATACTTTTAACAACTTTAAATGAATGCCAAAGCTGACAGTAACTTTAGAACCAACTGTACACCAATTCTACCAGCAAAGGCACAGGAAATTACCAAGAAGAGCAGCACTACCCCCTCTGCTGTCCGTGAGCTGGGTGAAGGCAGAACAGCTACTACAGAGCAGAGAACAAGCTGGAGACTCACCACTTCCAGCTTGCTTTTGGGGACCCTGCAGATGCAGTTGGTCCCAAAGTTGGTGTCCCGAGTCTGGATGCAGCGCAGGCAGCAGAGGTTCTCATAGCCCTGCTTCTTCCACTTGGCAATCAGGTTTTTGTCAGCATAGCCCTCCTTGATGCAGTACTCATAGAGCTCTGGGGAGGAGCAGACACTGTCACAAGTCTCACTGTCACAGGTGAACTCACTCACTCACTCACTCACTCACTCACTCACTCACTCACTCACTCACTCACTCCACTCCAGTTCTCCCCCAGGTAAAGCCTCTGCCCTCCTCACCTCTGCTGATTGCTTTTCTCTTGTAGAAGAGATCAAAGATGTAACGTGTTTTCTGGTGGTGGATCCTGAAGATGGGCCAGAGCGACTCCACTTTCCTCTTCCCTTCGTGTGGCTCTGTCTCCGCTGGGAGGGAACACAAACATCAGGTGACCAAGTGCTCCCCCCAATCACTTTGCAATGAACCAAGAACATTCCTAACTTTAATATGTGACAGGGATAAGACTGAGATTAACGGGAGGAGACTCAAATGAGAGGGACCTGACCTGGAACAGCTCGTTTAGGATATAAAACCAGTGGTAATGGGATGACAACCCACAAATGGAATCGGGGATGACTTCATGCCCACAGCAACAACATGGACAGGAACTACCAGTTCCTCCACACATTTGTGAGCTTCATGCCTAAACTAGCTGTAACCAAAGCTCTGTGCTCCATAACGCCAAAATTAGGGACCAGCACGGCCCAGGATCAATGTGCACCACTGGAGGCAGAGAGAGAAAAAAGTATTCATGAAGGAGCTCTTGTGAGCTTGTTTTGGGGTCTCATCCCTGAGAACACCCACTCACCTTCTCTCATCTTCTGATCCAGCTCGTCCAGTGTGGGCTCAATCAGCTCCCAGCCATCCGGGGGAGGCTTCCTGCTCCTCTTCACTTTTGGCATTGCCTCGGGAACTAGAGGGGCAAAAGGCCAAAGGAACTGCCAGCACTTCCTCAGAATCACTGGGAAAAACGAAAGGAAAACAGCTGTCAGATATATTTATCCTAAGGTTCTGTGCCCCCTTCCCATTTTCTACTGCAAGGATAAAAATGAGCTTTACGGAGCTCGTGAAAGAGGTGAAAGGTCCGTGACTGCTGCACGATAAGTCAGTTTTTCTCCTCAGCAAAGCACGGCAGCCACTCCTTCTCTGAGGTGACAACTCCGGTCAGATCCCGGTGATACAGAGACCGCCCGGCCCGGCCCCAACAGCCCCACAGCGGAACCCTGCGGCGTGAAGGGAGGCCGCAGGTCCTGGTTCTGATTCCTGTTCTGATTCTGATCCTGATCCCGATCCCGGTCCCGGTCCTGGTCCCCATCCTGGTCCCGACCCTGATCCCTGTCTCTGTCCCGATCACGGTCCCGGTCCCGGTCCCGGCCCCGCTCACCGCCCGCTCCCGTCGCGCCGCCGCCGCCGTCACCCGGGGGCCTCTCGCAGCCGCACCGCCCGTGGCCCCGCCCCCTGGGCTGCCCTGCACGCTGCCTGACCAAAACGCTGCCCCCCGCCCGCGGCGCCGCTCCGAGAGAGGAGAGGAACCCCCGGGGGGAACCGACCCCGCTCACCGCCGCCCCCGCGGGACCACCGGGAGCACCGGGAGCGGCGGCGCTGAGGGCAGCCCAGCGGCGGGGGCCTGGCGTGGGGGCGGTTCCGGTTCCGGGCGCCGCTCGGGCCGGGGGGGCCGTGCCGCCATCGCCGCGATGCCGAAAGGTGGTGGGGGCCGGGCCGGGCCGAGGGTTCCCCCGCGGGGAACGGCGGCGGGGAGGGGAAACGGGGGACAGAGAGGAGGGGGCTGAGGGGGTGTGTGGGCCGCCCGGCCCCGGCGCGGGCAGGGCTCGTGTTCGCCCCCGGCTGTGAAGATGCCGCGGCGGGTCCGTTCTCCCCGCTCTCCACGGCCTTGCGGGAGCCTGCGGGGGTCCCTTTCCCCCTCAGCGGCGGCCCCGTGGCTGTGCTTGGGCTCTGGGGGGTCTCGGGTTCTCTTTCCCCCACCGGGCTCCGGGGGTGCCTCGCCCCCTGAGTGACGGCGCGTTCCCCCCGCCCTTCCCCGAGCCGGGGCCCGTTCTGTGCCCCGCTCCGTGGCAGCGCAGCAGCTCCGGGGGTATCCGGGCCGCCGTGGGGCCGGGCTGGGCTCCATGTGCTCCCTCTGGAACGGGAACCGCGGCCGGTTCCCCTGGGACGGGGCGTGGGGCTCGGGGAGCCCCGGGGAGGTGGGTGCAGCCGCACCGGGGGCCGGCGGCCCGGGGGAGCCGAGCGGGCGCGGGGGGCGGCCCGGCCCGGGGGGGGTTCAGGGGCTCCAAACGCGGCTCCTTTGATGTGGCTCCGGCAGCGCCGCGTTTTGGGTGTTCCGGAGCGGGCACCGACTTGCTCCTCGTGTGATTCAGGAGCGGGGATGAGGCACTGCCGGGCTGTCAGCGGGATCCACCCAGAACCTTCTCCACATGCACCATCTGCATAATTGGCTGTTGCAAACCCCGGTCACACACCAGCCCTCCTCATTCCTCTTCCCTGCAGTTTGCTGCGCTTTATTTCATCAGCATTTCCCAGCCTTTAGCACCAAACTGATTCCTTGCTTAGATTTTATTTAACCACTTCATTTTGGCTCCATTTGCCTAGTGACAGGGAGATGGGGCTGAGGCTTTTATGGTTTTTATGAAGGCAAAGAACCGTGGTGGGTTATAACCCCATTTTTCATATTTAAATGCCGTGTAACTTCAGGATTTCCTGCTCTTTATTTCATTGTAGAGATTGAAATGTTTGATTCAAACCTTTTGCTTTTTGGAACAAGAGAGGTCTTCATTTTCCCCCAAGTCAGTGGCAGTTGCTGGATTGTTGGCAGAGAAGCAGATTTTGGCACTCGCTGTTGATATAAAAGGGAGGGGCATTAATAAGCTACTAATAAATTTTTTGCAGGATTATTTCCGATTAATTTCCTTTTTATCCCCCCTAATACTTTGATTTTAAAAAGAAGATATTCCATCAATATCATTCCATTCTCTTTCATCTGAACTTCTTAATTAAGCTGTTTAAAGATGAAGATGTGTGAATGTGGGCCTGCCTGTGCACCACTGGGCTTGGCTGCAGATGAAACCTGCAGGTGGTTCTATTTTAAAGAGATGGAAAAGAAGTGTTTTCCCTGTTTTCAGATGGGGAAACTGAGGCAAGGAGCTGGTCAGTGGCAGGTGTCAAACCAGCTCCCCATGTCTGATGTGAGGTTTGATCTCCCTGTGGGAGCAGAGCCCCATCCCTGCACTGTGCTGATCTCCCATGGGCTTCATTCTTCCATTTGCTTCTTTTTAGGCTTTTAATGCAAGGTAGTTTCCCTTTAGTTGCTTCTCTCCCCTTATCACCACTGTTTATTTGCAGTAATGAGCAGTTTGTGTTCCTTGGTCCTGAGCCCAGTGTGGAATTCTGGAGCAGCTGGATGAGAAGCCTGGCCCTGGCCAGGCTGGGAGCACAGTTTGGTTATTTGGAGCTTGGTATCCCACAGATGTCACTGTTGTTCCCTTTGGGGTGATGTCATGAGCTGGGCAGTGAGGTAATGTCTTCCCAGGAGCGTTCCTATGGCAGATCTTCCAGAGGGTGTCAGTGTTCCCACGTGGGATGGCTGGGAACAGGCAAACAGCAAACACCTGGCTGGCTGCAGCAAAGCTTTTGGTTGTGCTTAGGATTTGAGAGCCCATCAGCTTCCCTAGCTGAATCCAGGGAGGAGAATCTGCACTTCCCCATTTCTTTTGGAAAAATACCTCAGGGGTTTCTGTAAAGCTTCACAGTGGGGTTTTGGGACAGAACTAAGGCATTGTGAGAGTTTGTCTGTGCTGAGCCAGGAGAATTGGTCAGAAAATGTTGGATCTCTGCAGCTCCCAGTGCCTCCCAGTCCAGCAGCACACAGTGAGAGGGCAGTGGCAGATCTCCCGTGGATCTCACACTGTGCCAAGGAGGGAGGGATGATCCCTCATCCCTGCCCATCACTGTAAGGTTCCCACTGTCCTGGGCAGATGAAGTGGGGAGGATGAGGGAGATCCAGTGTTTCCTGCTCCTTCCATGGGATTTCAGGACTCCTGCAGTAGCAGAGAGCTGCCTTGCCAGAGTTGTTTTCTTTTTGCCAGTCTCCCTCACTCAAGGCTGTAGATTGGCTCTATCCAACTTGCTTCCCAATTCTTTGGGCTGGAAGAACATAACAAGAGCAGTGGCTGGAAGGAAGCATTAATGGCTTCAGCAGTTCATTAATCAGCAGTATACTTGGGGCAGTGCCAGCCACAGTGACTCCCCTTCTTGGTTCCTGGAGCTTGTTTTTATTTTTCCTCATAAAGCAGTAAAACATGGAGGCTCCTTTTAATTCTTCAGCTCCCATTGTAATTCCCAAAGCTTTTGTCCAATTAGCTTCCTATTTTCTCCTGGCACAGTGGGAGGGGTTAAGGAGCCAAGCTTGTTGGAATGTTGGTTGTGACCACAGGAACACACTGTGATTCCTCCTGTGCAGGAAACTGGGATCTGCTGTGGGACTGAGTGTCCCTTGCCAGCCTGGGAAGGGAATTGGAGAGGCCACAAGCACAAGCAGGGAATGGTGATATCAATAATCCCAATTCTCTCTGCATCTCACCTAAAAATCTTGGAGCATTTCACCCAATTCAATGCCGGGTTTTGTTGTTTAGGGTCTATCAGAGAAGCTGTTTTGTTTTATCTTATCTACACCTAAAATCCAGAGAGTGCTGCAGGAGGAACAGACCTTTCTGGAAGTTACCACTAAACCATTTGTTATTTTTATTATTTTGTGCAGGTAGAAAAGGAGGCCACAAAGGCCGAGCAAGGCAGTACACGAGTCCTGAGGAGATTGATGCCCAGCTCCAAGCAGAAAAGCAAAAGGCAAGGGTATGTGTTTGTTCCTTTGTGCATTTTCTGTCCTAATTCCTGCCTTATCCAGCCTCGTTATTCTCTGTTCAGGAGCAATGGCAGCTTAGCCAAGTGCTGCAGATCATTCCAGCTGTGATCACAGTATGGATCCCAAATATTTCCAGCTGGAGAGAATCCAGGGTGTCACCCAGTCTGATTCCTGAGGCCTGGGAGACCACCCAGGGCAGCACTTGAAGGTTAAAGGATGGAGGAGCTGGTTCCACAGCAGCTCTGGGGATCTTTTCTCCCCATATTTCATCATTCCAGTCTCCAGTGTCAGCTCATCTGTTCTGCAGCTTGACTGTAGAGAACAAGAGCCACATCTTGACATGTTGAAATTACTGTATTTGCCCTCTTTCAATTGTAGATTTATGAACCAAACTCCTTTGACTTCTTCCTGTACACATAATTTTCGTGTTTGCCTCTGACTTGTAGGGAGAGATAACAGATTTTTCTGGTGTGGGGCCTCTTTGGGTTTATTTCTGTGCCCCAGCACTGGACTGTAACAGCTCCCCCCACTTCCACCATGACCAGACTGCTGTCATAAAAGTCTTGGCTGCTTTTTGGGGCTCTTTCTCTCTTCCTTCCAAGCTTCTCACAGCTCTGGTGACACTCATAATATTTTTCTGTGACTGTCTGAAGGTGCTGCCTCAGCCCAAATACACAGTTCCAGCTGAGGCCTCACTGACCACAGGAGGATAATTACACCCTATGTAGGAAATGCTGATGAATACCTCTGAGATGACTCTCTCAAGCAGTTCTGAGCCATAGCATTGAGTCCTTTTTAATGTTTTGCCCAACTGGAACTCGAGATGATTGCTTGGTTTGCTGCTTAGCCACATCTTCCAGCTTTGTGTTAGATTTCTTCTTCCAAAGTGTAACTCCTCTTGGTTAGTTTCTGATTCCACCTTCTTGGTTTTATGCCATATTTCCACATTCTGAAACCACTTATGAGTCTCATCCTGTTTTCCAAAATAATTCCAACTCCTACTAGTGTGATGTCATTCACAAACTGTGTAAGTGTTCTCTGCTTCCATGTTTGTAATAAAAATACTGACTGGAAATGGAACAGAAAAGCAGGACCCACTTGAAATGTGTGTCTTGATTCACAGCAAACCAGAGAACTGCTCTTTGAGAATGATTTTTTTTTTTTTTTTTTTGTGATAACCCATATCACATAGTGATGATTACATCTAACACCGATTTATTAAGGAAAGCTTAAAAGAGCCCCCTACAATTAACAAAATTACTCCTCTGACTGTTCCTTGCTCATCCACTTTGTGGGTTGCTTGATGAGAGATGTTGGTAATGTGAAACAAGCTGTTCACACCTATGCTAGTTCTTCTTATGATTCAGAAATTAATTCCCAGGTTTCTGACTGGTGGAAGCTTAAAAGGCTGCAATTCTTTGGATAAGAATGTTCTGGTTGATGGTTGTCGCTTTTCTCCTTTAGGTGTTTTTATTTATGCAGATTCAGGATGGTTTCCAGCTCTAAGCTGCATCCACGTGGTTTCCAGTGTTTGAGGTTGTGTGCACTGGAAACCCAGGCCAAAA